TCTGTCCACTTTTCAAACGAATCACTGCGCTTTAACCACTGGAACAGCTGAGCCTGAGACTGCAGGCTTCCCTCTCTTTCCAATGAAGCCAAACCACAGATTTTTTTCCATTTATCGGTTCCTCTGAGTGAGCTGTAGAGCAGTGAGAGGGAATAAAGCCTCGTTGTGTTGTGGTTGATGGAGTGAAGCTCTCTGGCACTCTGCTTGATTCTGCCAGTTCCACACAGTGACGCAACAGGGAAGCTGTTTATTTAGGTATTGACCTGCGCTATGTTGCCCCCCTCCACAGAGGTACGGAGCATCTGACCTCTACTGAGCGCTAAACTAACCACAGCTACTGGGATTTCGTCAGTTCAAATTTGTTACTTCAGTGCACTGTTTTAATCTGTCTGATTAGAAACATTGGTTTGCGGATAATTTTCCGCTCCGTGTGCTGTAACGAGTCCTTTAGAGTGAGATATATTCGTATGCAGAAGTCTGAACGGTCAAATTATTGTTTTGTTGATTCTCTTGTTGAAAATAAGTTAACACATCCTCTACAGGGAAAGTAGTTTAACACACTGGAAAACAAATAACACCAATATTTAAAAATAAAACAAAAATAATAAAATGTGCCTTAACATTTGGCCACATTTCTGGTTTTATTTTGTCCCAATATGACAAATTCAGTACATAAACAGTGATTCTGCATTAAAATGAGCAGAAGTGTGTCTCTGTAGAGGACGTGTAACTTATTTTTCACTTTGAAAATCAACAAAATGTTACTTTACCAGGGATGTTAAAACTTTTATACGGAGCCCTGCTGGTGCCATCCCATATAAGTAAAAATAATATGCCGTATGAACGCAGGGGAACGAGATCCTAATGCATGGCCACGACTTAGTAAGGTGCGGGAATGAGATAATTAAGGCCTTAGTAACTTACTAAGTCATGGGAACAAGATCATGCCTTATTAAGCTGTGGTCAAGGCTTAATTATCTCATTCCCACTCCTTACTGAGTTGTGGTCATGCATTAGGATCTTGTTCCCATGCCTTACTAAATCGTGGCCTCACATTATTTTTATTTATACGGGGTGTCACCAGCAGGGCTCTGTACTTAAGCAATAGAACCCGAGAGGGAGGGTGTTATCACGAGATAACATCACGGCTGTGATTTGGTCGCCGTAGATCATCACAGCCGTGATGTTATTGGCGATAACGCACTCCTCGAGTGTTCTATTGCTTTTATACAACAGTTAAATAAATAAAGTAATAAATTAATAAACTGGGCCGTGAACGCGGCGTTTAATATGCTTTAATGTTCGCAGTTCCTTCACCAAATTATAGTTCCTTAACGAGCAGCTCGTTGCTACGTCAGCGTAACGAGCTCCGCCCACTCGCTGCAAAGCCGGCAGTTTGTTCTCCAGCTCCACACAGACCAACTGACAGTTTGGGAATTTAGTGTCGTCTCATCTTCAGAGTCTGACCAAATTGGCTGTCGGTCAAATGTGATCTTAAAAGTGTCCGTTTTCTGTTTGTGGCAAAGTAAGAAGTAAAACGTTCAGATGACTTGAGCGTCTGCTACAGCTGTCAAAGTCGTTGCTTAGCAACAGCATCTCAGCGGAGTGATACAGTGTTTGTGAAAAACCTGTGATGTCATGGTGAAATAACAGCACAGTTAGAACGCTTCTCAACCAATCAGCTTGCGTGGCCGGAACTAATTGTTGTATAATTTTACATATAACTGCATAGATTGAAAAACATGCACAGTTCACGAATGTTATTAAGCCGTTTTCTTTGAAACCGTTTGAAGCTGGTTAGTACAATACCACTTTGTTTTAGTTTTCTGTGGGTGTGTCTTCGTTTCAGGCTGCTTTGAAGGTCGTCTGCCTCTACACGTCACACTGAAACATCTATCTGTGACTGGGTATTTGTATGACAAGTCACACTAGAGCTGAAATTTTTAGCCCTGTCCAGAGCTCACAATTAGATCACCATCCCTGAAACCCTCACTGACCTCGTCTCGCTTCACCCTTCATCCCAAACCCCAGACAAAACAGCTCACCAAACAAGCAACCCTATCCTGACTGAAGGAGACTGATAAAGGTGATGATATTCCTCTCAAGGTCCAAGTGCCGCGTCCAACTCTGAGCCCTGTCTTTCTTCTAGCAGGTTTTAGATATGAATGTGTTGCCTTTCCTTTCATTGCATCACATATCAGAGTCATTAATAAAATCTTCACTACTTTTTAACAAAAACATGGACAAAATTCAGCTAAGTTGGCCACAGCTACTGTTTTTAGCTACGTGACCTACTTTAGTCCGTGTTTATAGATAACAGCCTGTTGTACAGTGTCAGAAACCACATAATCACATCCTTTAGAGATTATTTAACAGGAAAATGTCTCATAACTGAGATGTAAACAAAGCCATTCAGGGTGCCTTAATGTGAAATGATTCATTGTAGAGAAACATACTGACTCAGATTTCTTTACAGTGGTGGTGATAGGAACCAGGTGTCACCATGTCTACTCACTTAAAAATGATGGTTCTTCAAGGGTTCTTTAGTAAAGAAAATGGTTCTATATAGAACCATGAACATGATTTGCAAGATTAAAGGGTTCTTTGCATCATGAAAGGGTTCTTCAGGTTGATAGACAATGTGCTGTAAATTATTCTATATAGAACCTTTTTGAAAAGGGTTCTATATAGCACCAAAAAGGGGTTCTCTATTGTTGTGATGTCAGGCTTGTTACAATAAAACTACCCTTTTTGGTGGTATATTGAACCCTTTTCACAAAGGTTCTGTATAGAACCATTTACAGCACATTCTCTAAAAACCTGAAGAACCCTTTCATGATGCAAGGAACCCTTCAATAATGCAAATCATGTTCATGGTTCTATATATAGTTTCTAAGTGTGCACAACACGCCGTTAAAAATGAAGGTCAGCTCAAAATAAAATTAAATTAAACTGATTGCACTGAGTTTCTCGAGGCAACTCAATTTGAGGACATTAGAGTTTATCCAACTCAAACTTCTTAGATCAGTCAGAAGTTCTCCTGACTCTCATATTTTAGTTCTGCATCTCAGTGAGGTACATGATATAAAACATAAGCTTTTGACTCAATTTTCCCACTGGCTGTGACTTTTTCCATCAGGCAATCCCACCAGGCATTTCCATCCTCTTGGGCTCCCAGTTTCAGACAGCTACAACAGCACTGGGGTTCAAACTCACAACCTCCTGGTGGGGCTAAATGCTTAGTCCATTGCACTTTTCACAAGCTCTTCAAATTCCTCAGATGTGTCCTTAAATGTTTTATATACTGATAAAAAATTGGTTGTTTTAACTTTGAAATGTAACCTAATAACACATGATGCAATGGTCTGAGAATTCACCTCAACATCAGGAGGTTATGAGTTTGAACCCGAGTGATTGTACAGTTGTTGATATCTGGAAGCCCAAGAGGAGAAAAGGCGTGGTGGTATTGTGTGATAGAAAGAGTCCCATTTAGCAGGGAAACAGAGAACAAAACAAATTCTATATTGTTTCGTCAACTGAGAAACTACATATGAGAGCTGGGAGAACTTTTGACTAAACTAAGAAGTTTGAGTTGGGTGAATTCAAGGGCCCTCAAGAGTTAACTCAAGAAAAGCAGTGTAATAAGTAAAATAAATTATACTTTAATTTTAAGTTGAGCTGACTTCTCAGTGCAGAAATATAGCCATTTTATTTACTATCCATAACCACCAGTGAAGCTACATCTGTCTTCTGAGTTTTCATTTACAATGTAGTAAATTTTTTATATTCAATATATAATAACAGTAAGAAATTTTACCTTACAAAACCCTGCATCTTCCCTGAATATAATTTAAAGAAACATTTTCAGACCTAACCTGTGTCTCAACAGTGTCTCAGACTTAAAGCAATGTATTCATAACCATTTCATGTAGCAACTTTCTGTGAGGGAGCTTTTAGAGGTGGACGTCTGGTTCCTATCACCACCACTGTGAACAACTCTGACTCTCTTAGTTTCTCTAGAACAGAGCGTTTCACACCAAACCACTCTGAATCACTTTGTTTACAAGTTAACTGTTTAATTATGCAGAAACTTTGAAAAATGAATGGAATTTGGATATGCAGTTTACAACAATGCTATTTGGTGGGGTACAAATTAGCCTGTTAGCTTTATTAGCCTCATAGCTCTAGTGCAAAACTAAAGAAGCAAACTTCAGATCTTGGCTGGTCCTAAATATATATATATATATATATATATATATATATATATATATATATATATATATGTATGTCGCTGCTGCTGGAACAAAACCTTGCATCTCCATTTTTGTCGTTTTTCAGTTTTTAACATAATTTGAAAATGCCTGTTGCTCTTTACATTGTGTGTAAATTTTATGATGAATGGACCAAACGAAATCACTCAAAATGACTTGGAAAAACTGTCTGGTTCCATTGACTTACATTAAAAGTAAAGTAGGTTTTTTCCTTCTCCTGTAAAGTTACCATTTTAGAGATACGAGGTTTTCTTCCAATACATATGCATCTTTAACTTCGTCTGTAACTTAGAAGGACTTGGTTTGTTGATGATTGCGAGAGGGAACCTGCTACATAATGAGCTGAATGAGGTGCTGGACCGAAATGGACAGAGTGGAGGCATGTGCTTCCAAGTCGAAACAGTCACGACCTGTTATGTGCAGCAATGGCATGAAAGCCTTCTCTGAAAAGAGAGCCATGGAGCTTAATTCATTCATTTATTTCCAAAAAAGGAAAGGTAATTATTACGACGGTTTTAGATAAATGGGCCTAATGGGTCACGGGTCTAATGGACTAATACCCTGCTCTACTGGGTTAGAGGGAACACTGTGTTTTTTGGTGTTTTTTTGTCAGCCTTGACCCTGCAGACTCTGGCTTAAACCAACCCCCTCTGTGTCCACACTTCAAAGATAAGCGTCTGCTTGTGTGCCTGCGTGAGTGAGTCTTTTGCAACCGGGCCATAAAGTTACCTGAAGCGCTGGGGTCATTATAGATGACTAGGGTTGCTGGAGTGGGCCTCCGCTTGCGTATCTGTGGAGTAGAGAGAGAGAGAGAGAGAGAGAGAGAGAGAGGGGATTAGCATTAGTTGATATTAAAAGGGAATTCCACTGATTTTTCAAAAGTTCTGTATATTTCAGTGGTTGAGATGTAAACAGAGTCATTCAGAGTGGTTTGGTGTGAAATGGTTGATTGTAGAGACTCAGATGTCTTTACAGTGGTGGTGATAGGAACCAGGGGTCACCATGACCACAACACAAATATAGCCATTTTAATTACTATCCAAAACCACCAGTGAACCTACACGAGTCTTCTGAGTGCTTATGTGGAATATTGATGATGGTTAAAATAGTGATAAATCTGAAAAAATAGGAAATATCTTTTATTTTGGGAACAACTCCCTGCATGTACCTCTCTGTCATGAATGAGCTTAAAAAAATTGGTTTTAGGCCAGAATTTCATCTCAAAACTGTCATAAAAGAGCATGTCATGCCTTAGGCAACATATTCATAACCATTTTATGTAATTAATTTACTGTGAGGCAGCTTTCAAAGGCATTACACCCTTCAGACGTCTGGTTCCCATCACCACCACTGAGAATAAGACTCTCTAGAATGGAGCATTTCACATCAAACCACTCTGAATGACTTTATTTACATCTTAACCGTTTAATTCTGAAGAAATTTTGAAAATTTCTCTGTTAATATTCTAAAAACTGGTTGTGGTTCTGGCACTAGGCACTTTTTGGTAACACAGTGTTGGGGGATATTATACCCCCCTTATAATTCTCTTATTAAGCCTTATCAAGCCAAGTAGCTGTTAATTAAAAGGCTACTCATTAGTACTTTATTAGGCTGAGTTAAGCAGTTTAAAGCACTGGTATTTGTATATTATACATCAAAATCTTTTGCTCATCATCCACTGATAATCAAGATATCCATCTAGTTCTTCACTAGAACAATCTGAGATATAATCTTACAGGTTAGGTATTGACCACACACTTAAAAGGTGGCTCGTCAGGGGTTCTTTAGTAAAGAAAATGGTTCTATATAGCACCATGAACACTCAAAGAACCCTTTGCATGAATAAGGGGTTCTTTGCATTGTGAAAGAGTTCTGCAGATTGATGGAGAATGTGCTGTATATAGAACCTTTTTAAAAGGGTTCTTCTATTGTTACAAGCTTGAAATTGTAAGAACAGAAGAACACTTTTTGGTGCTATAAAGAACCCTCTTCAAACAGGTTCTATATAGAACCATATACCACACATTCTCCTTCAATCTGAAGAACAAGATAATAATAGACACTTTATTATTTACACAAAAGGTTCTTTGAGTGTTCATGGTTTAATATAAAACATTTTCTTTACTAAAGAACCCTTCAAGAACCATCTTTTCTAAGAGTGTAGAAGCTCTGTTAATAAGCATTCTTAGTAATAAAGCCTCTGTAGTACACGTTAACTAGAAATGTTGACTTTAGAACAGAGGCTTGGTTTTTCTTTATTTAGAGCTAATTGGTAATTTATTATTGGAGTAACTGATACCAAGAAAATAAACACATTCTAGAACAAGGGCACAGGCAAACATTGTGCACAAGATCATGATGTATAACAAACAAAAATGCTTGGAAAATGCCTAATTCACTCCAGTTATTGCTTAATAAAGTAGTAATAAAGTAGCCTGTTATTTTCCAGATACTGTCTTGATAAAGCTTATTATGACTATTACAAGGGCATTATAATGCTCCCCTATTTTGAAGTATTATCCACTTTTCCTCTATATCATAATGATATCATAATGATATTGGACATAATTTCATTACCATACAGCCAGTATTCTACCATATATTACTCAGAGGGGAACCCACATGGGCTTATATGCCTTGATTGGAAATAAAAAGGTTAAAATCATTAAAATGCTCAAAGGAAAATGATCCAATCAGGATTTTTTTTCCACTCTTATCTAGACAGATAAAGCCAAATGAGCTCTCCTATTAGTTAGGACTTCAGGAGCTGAATAGAAGGCCTTACACAATAGACTAACTACCAAACATAATTAGTAGCTGACAGAGGAATCATTTGTGTTTTGATTTCCAATTGGTGGGGCTAATTTTATAAAAAAAAACATCACTCTAGGTCCTCTGGAAGTTCTAGATACATCACCGACTGTGAATACTGAAAGAGTCACTGTAAAACTGAGACATTCAGGGTAGAAGATATGTTGATTCACTCAAGTTATTGCTTAATAAAGTAGTATTAAAGTAACCAGTTAATTACCAGATACTGGCTTGATAAGGCTTCATAAGACTATTACGAGGGCATTATAATGCCCCCTATTTTCCTCTATATCAAAATTATGTTGGACATGCATCTCATTACTATACAGCCAGTTTTTTTAACCATATATTACTAAGAGGGGAACTCACAGGGGCTTCTAGGCCTTCATTGGAAACAAAAAGGATAAAATCATAAAAAGGCTCAAAGGAAAATGATCCAATCAGGAATTTTTTTCCAGCTTTATCTAGACAGATAAAGCCAAATGAGCTCTCCTATTGGTTAGGACTTCAGGAGCTGAATAGAAGGCCTTACACAATAGACTAACTACCAAACATAATTATTAGATGAGTCAATTGTGTTTTGATTTCCAATTGGTGGGGCTAATTTGAGGAAAAAACATCACTCTAGGTCCTCTGGAAGTTCTAGATACATCACCGACTGTGAATACTGAACGAGTCAGTGTAAAACTGAGACATTCAAGGTAAAAGATATGTTGATGTTTGTTTCAACCTTCAGGTAAAACATATGGAATGTCCTTTTCAAGCTGTGATGCGTAATATACAAAATAATAGTGCTCTGGAAAATGTCTAATTCACTCCAGTTATTGCTTAATAAAGTAGTATTAAAGTAACCAGTTAATTACCAGATACTGGCTTGATAAGGCTTCATAAGACTATTACAAGGGCATTATAATGCCCCCTATTTTCCTCTATATCAAAATTATGTTGGACATGCATCTCATTACTATACAGCCAGTTTTTTTAACCATATATTACTAAGAGGGGAACTCACAGGGGCTTCTAGGCCTTCATTGGAATCAAAAAGGATAAAATCATAAAAAGGCTCAAAGGAAAATGATCCAATCAGGAATTTTTTTCCAGTTTTTTTCCTAGACAGATAAAGCCAAATGAGCTCTCCTATTGGTTAGGACTTCAGGAGCTGAATAGAAGGCCTTACACAATAGACTAACTACCAAACATAATTAATAGCTACCAAACATAATTATTAGAGGAGTCATTTGTGTTTTGATTTCCAATTGGTGGGGCTAATTTGAGGAAAAAACATCACTCTAGGTCCTCTGGAAGTTCTAGATACATCACCGACTGTGAATACTGAACGAGTCAGTGTAAAACTGAGACATTCAAGGTAAAAGATATGTTGATGTTTGTTTCAACCTTCAGATTAAACATATGGAATGTCCTTTTCAAACTGAACTGCTGTTAGCTTTGCACTAATGTACTACTAGAATCCCATAGGGGTGCTAGCGGAACCTAGCATTTTCACAGAGGTGTATTTTTTCTTGGTTTTTGAGTTTTGAGTTTTGAGGTCTGGCTCTAATAGCCACAGTTTGTACCTAATATTAATACATATAACTAGATGCAACTATGACTTATATCTTTATTCATGTACACACATTGCATTAAGCTGTGATGTGTTTTTATTGAAGGTGCAATGAAAAGATGCGTTGTTGAATAATGTGGAGACCAATCCTGACATATTTTAATGTTAATGCTCATGATTCTTGATTTTGAGTCTGATAAACACCTACACAGAAGCATTTCTGGATGTTCTGGAATTACACAACAGTACAGTCGAAGCTCGAAGGCTCAATACATCGACAAGATCCTTGCGCCTCTAAAAAGACATGAGTTATCCCAGGCTTTTTTTAACTGCCCCCTCCCACCTCTGTCTGAATCAGTATGACAAACTCTGCATCACCACCATCGCTGTCGTGTAACGTCCACTGAGCTCTAATCGCGCTGCCTTTGTTTTCCTCTACGCCTGCAGTGCTCAGGGCTGTCCATTTCTACACGAGGCTTTGGAAGGTATAGATCTGACGCTGCCTCTTCTAATGGAGCACTAACTCAGCACAAGCAAGGCCGCGTCTGATTGGCTGAACCGGCCTCATCATAAAATCGCCCCAATACGTTACTATTATTACTCAGTCAGCAGCAGCAGCAGCTCTTGTTCTGAAGAGCCTCTGGACTAAAGACTGGAGCGTATATCACTGATAGCTGTAACATAACACCAGCAATCTGCTCAAACCAGCAAAGGACACTGCGTTTAATGATTTTCCTACTACAGAAAAATGGCATGAAATGGAAAAGAAATAATAGATTGCAGTGCTAAAAATAAATGGTTCTCTAAACGGTTCCTGGCTTGGATGTATGGTCCAAAAAGAACACATTAATTAGTAAACACCTTTACATTCTAAGGAGGATCTTCAAACTCACATCTCATTTACAGAAGTGGTTCTTTAAAGAACCATCAATCACAAGAACCAAAAGTGGTTCTTCAATGGCATTGCTCCAAAGAACCTCCCACAGTACAGAATTCTTTGCCACTTCTCTACACCATCATAAGAAGGGGGTCTTCATAGGTTCTTTAGTAAAGATAATGGTTATATAGAACAATATATATTATATATAATATAGTTAAATTGTTCTTTTCTGCAATATGGTTTATGGTTCTTTAAAGAAGCAAAAGAACACCAAAAAGGGTTCCACTGCACTCTTAAACATAAAGGTGCCAGAAAGGGCTTTTGGTTCCCTCAAGAACCTTTCAATAGTAAAGGAGATTTGTGAGTGTGAAAAACAAAGTTTGAAGAACCTCCACATAATGTAAAGGTTCTAGGAAGAACCCTTGAACTGAAGGACTTTTACATTATGTAACGTTCTTTAAGACTTTGAAAGGTTAACACTCACATCTCTTTGTCAAACAGGTTCTTTATTGAACCAAAAGTGGTTCTGCAGTGGCATCACTCCATAGAATTCTTCCCTATCCTCTTACAAAAAGGAGTTCTTTAAGGGTTCCTAAGTAAAGGCAATGGTTATATATGGAACCGTGATGACTCTTTGCTGGTTTAAAAGGATCTTCTCTATGACAGAGAAATTGTTGTATATGGTTCTTTAAAGAACTTTAACAAAATGGTTCTATATAGCACCTAAAAGGGTTCCTCTACACTCATCAAAAAATAAAGGTGCTAGAGAGCGTTCTTTCTGTGAACCAACTTTTTGGTTCCTTAAAGAACCTTTCAGTGGAATGTAAATGAGATTTGTGAGTATGAAGCTGGAAGAACCTCCCCATAAGAAAAAAAAGTTCTAGGAAGAACTCTTAAACTGAAGGATTTTTACATCATGTGAAGGTTCTTCAAGCCTTTGTAAGGTTCTTTATTGAACCAAACATGGTTCTTCAGTAGCATCACTCCATAGAATTCTCCACAGCAAACACGTTTCTCTATCCTCTTACAAAAAGGAGTTCTTTATGGGTTCTTAAGTAAAGGCAATGGTTATATGTGGAACCTTGATGTGTCTTTGCATGGTTAAAAGGTTTTTCTCCATGACAGAGAAATTGTTGTAGATGGTTCTTTAAAGAACTTAAAAAAGGGTTCTATACAGCACCCGAAAGCGTTCTAAAAGGTGCTAGAAAGAGTTCTTTGTGTGAACCATGTTTTGGGTTCCCTAAAGAACCTTTCAGCGGAATATAAATGAGATGTGTGAGTGTGAAGAACCTTAAAGTTTGAAAAACGCCCACATAATGTAAAGGTTCTAGGTAGAGGCTGTTGGTAAATAGAGATTCTAGAGAGAGGTTCTTGATAAATAACCTTTATATTATATTAAGTTTAGTTAAGTATTTGAAAGATTCCTCACACTCACAAATCTTCTTTTCAAACACGATGCTTTAGGGAACCAAAAGTGGTTCTTTGCTCAAAGAACCCTTCGTGGCATCTGTGCTATGTGCCATGTAGGACTTAATGAGGGTGTATTAAAAATCAGCCAAATAGAATAAAAGAGAAATCAGTCCAAAAAATAAAATGAATCATCTGCAATCGGCTGAGCTTGAATAACGGCTACAATTCTGATAAGACACTTTGCAAAAAAGCAGCGATTAAACAGATTAAAACAAGGCCAACATGAGTGCTTATGAAGTCCCAGCAAGTCATCATGACCCAGCAAGGTTTCTCAGAAAGTGTCCACCAGACACATAAACAAGCAGCCCATTTGCACAGTGTCCCCAATGATATTAGCAGCTTTTAGTACCAAGAAGACCAAAGACTGATGACCACAGCAACACTAATGAGCCTCAAAACTGATTTGGCAGAAATCTGGACAGAACTAAGCTCAGTCTCAGAGGGACCCCAAGCATGCATTAGCTTCAGCTGTGACAAGAGCCTCCCCCCAACCCCACAACCCCCCCTGCTCAACCCCACAACCCCCCCCCAAACACACACACACACTTTTATCTATCTGTCTCTCTTTACTCACATGTTCTGCTGCCTGAGGGTCCAAATGGCTCTGGAAGAGCGGGACGGCAAACTGGATCTTCTTGGGGCTGTTGGGCTCCATGTTGAGAGTCAACAGACGGACAGACGAGTGAGAGAGAGAGCCAGAGAGAGAGATAAAGACACAGAGAGAGAGAGAGAGAGAGAGGACAAAGAGCAGCTGTATGGTCAGGCATACAGCAGCGGCGGACAGCCTCTCCACTGGCCCCCTCCTTATGAGCCCCAGTGATTAGTCTCCTTACTGGACCGCCCGCCTTCTCCTGTTCCAGCACACAGAGTGAGAGTGAGTGAGAGAGAGGGAGAGAGAGAGAGAGAGAGAGAGAGAGAGAGAGAGACTCAAAAGGCAATAGGCAGAACTGAACGGACTGTCCCACACTCGCACTGGCTCACTCGTGTATGTATGTCCTCTTTTCTTCCACAAGGGTGAATATCATGCCCTCCAGCCTCGAACAGTGTCCAGCAGTGTCCAGCAATGTTCAGCTATAGAGCTCCAGGCCCCCTGCTAGACTCTAAGTGGCCTCAGACAGCCCAGTGCAGCTTCTCCCCCAGCATTAGCGAGACTCCGAGCAGGGCAATATAACCTCCCAGTGGGACACGCGCTGATGCGCTTTACATTATTGATGATCCAAGTTCAGGAAGCTGTCGGCAGTTCACTCTACCCCGTGTCCTGATTTTGCTTTCTGGACAATAGGAGTGGACCTACGAGACACACTTTGGGTGATAACATATTAGGACACTTGATCACACTTGGCACGTCATTTGTGGATTGTTAATTATTCAGCTTTTCTGGAGGAGAATATGAATCAGTGTCAGTTCTAAAAGAGCCAGTTTATTTTTAGGCAGTTCAGAATGTTGAATTGTCAGGGGTGCAGCTTTGGTCTGACAGATTTAGGGGGCCAACATCAGGAGGCTAAAGCTTACATGTGGTAATAAATTCAATGCAAACAATGACTCTTATCATACTGATATCTCAGCTTTATATGTCAACATTAAAACACAAAAACAAGTATAACTATTATAGCCCCATTTCTAAAAAACTTAGGACGCTGTGCAGAATGTAAATAAAAATAGAATGCAACTATATGCAAATCATGTAAACCATATTTTTAAAGGAACATACTACAAAAACAACATATCAAATGTTCAAAGTAAGAAATTTTGTTGTTTTTTGAAAAATATATGCCCATTTTGAATTTGATGCCATGCTTTTGCGATCCTTTTTTCTATACCCAATCATGTCACTGACCTGTTGCCAATTAACCACCACGTGTTTTTTTAGCATTACGCAACTGTACCAGCCTTCTGTTGCCCCCGTCCCAACTTTTTTGCAACGTGTTGTGGGCATCAAATTCAAAATGGGCATATATTTTTCAAAAAATAATACAATTTTACATTTTACACAGCAACCCAACTTTTTTGGAAATGGGATTGTATTAATAATATTAGATATTATAGATATTCAGTATAGATATTTAGTTTTGTTGTTTATTACAATGGTGTTTGGTCACTAAAATCTTTATCTGAATATTTGCTAATAATTTTGAAAAATATGGTGATAATTAAGAAAGACTGTTAATAACTTTTATGGCATAGGTAAACAAATGATCATAGTACAGTAAAGTGCTAAGGCAGGTTAGTGTTTCTTCTTTTTGTCATTGCTAACTATAAATAAACCAAACAACAGTATATTTTGTGTTTAATACATTTTCAAAACTGTAATTAACAGCTGGCTTATGTAATAATTGTAACTAAATAATAATAATAACAAACTATCTGGTAAAACTCAAAAACTCAAATGATTGATTATGGGTTAGGGATTAGGTTTAGTTATAGATAGGTGAAGGTAAATTTAGGACTAGGTTTAGGCTTTAGGCTGAAGTTAGGACTGTTGTGAACCATGACTATTAGAGCTAAATATTCCGTTCGGGCCAAAAATGGTAAAACTCAAAAAATGAAAATGCTTAGGCTTATTTCTGCTAGCACCCTTATTGGGCTTCTATTAGTATGTTAGCACTAAGCTAACGCTGGAGAACATGAATATTTTGGCTCTTTTACATCTAACATGATGTCTGAAGACATGTTTTATTTGAAACTTTTACTTGTCATATACAGTTCTATACAAAGGTTTAGTTTCCCTGGTTAACCTACCTGCTTTGTTGACTGTCTAAGTGTAAAAAAGTTACAAATCCTTTACAGAAAAACACACTTCTACACGTTTTAATGCACAATTACTGTTTATTTTCTGGATTTAACACATCAGCGAAGAACATAAATGTTGTGTGTACAACCTGTGCAATACGGCAAATTATATAGTTATGTTTAGATTTTTTCTAATATTTTACGCTTAGCAAATAAGAGTCCTAGGATAGAGCTGCTCCTGCTTTCCATTCACAGTCAGTGACATATCTAGAACATCCAGAATGCCTAGAGTCATGCTTCTTCTCACAAAATTAATCCCACACATGATAAATCAAAACATGATTGGTTGAATCCTCTGTCAGTTCCTAATTATGTTGGTAGTTAATCTGACGTGTAAGACCTTCAGTTCAGCTCCTGTAGTCAGTTGTAATACAAGTGTTTTCTAAGTTCAGGTTTATGCATCACTAAATCAAATCGAGTTTCCCCACACAAACTAGTTTTAACGTTGAGCTTATTAGTTACTTAATATTTACCCTCAGTAGGTATAAGTTTTGGGAGAACAATCAGAAACTACATAGAAAACACAAAAAAGACCAAAAATGACTTTTTGGTTAACTAAGCTAAAAATTCTAAATGCTGTACACTGTGATTTTACAACCTCATTTCCAAAAATGTTGGGATGCTGTGCAAAATGTAAACAAAAACAAAATGCAATCATGTGCAACTCATTTAAACCCAATATTTAATTGAAAATATTATAAAGACAACATATCAAATGTTGAAATTGAGAAATTTTATTGTTTTTTGAAAAATATTTGCCCATTTTGAATTTGATGCCAACAACACGTTCCAAAAAAGTTTGGACGGGGGCAACAAAAGGCTGGTAAAGTTGTGTAATGCTAAAAAAAACACCTGGTGGTTAATCGGCAACAGGTCAGTAACATGATTGTATATTAAAGAGCATCTCAGAGAGGCGGAGTCTTTCAGAAGTAAAGATGAGGAGGGGTTCACCACTCTGTGAAAGACTGCACGGTCAAATAGTGCAACAATTCAAGAACAACATTTCTCAACGTAAAATAGCAAAGAACTTTTGCTTTTCATCATTTACAGTACATAATAACACTAAAAGATTCAGAGAATCTGGAGAAATCTCTATATCCAAGGGAGAAAGCCCAAAAAGAGTATTTGCTGGCCGTGATCTTTGGGCCTTCAGGAGGCACTGCATTAAAAACAGACATGATTCTGTAGTGGAAATCTCTGCATGGGCTCAGAAACACTGTCTATAAAAAGTTTGTCACTGCACCCACAAATGTAGGTTTAAACTCTAAAACGCGAAGAAGAAACCATATAGAAACAGGATCCAGGAACGCTGCCACCTTCTCTGGGCCTGAGCTCATTTAAAATGGACTGAGGGGAAGTGGAAAAGTGTTCTGAGTTCCGACGAATCAACATTTGAAATTCTTTTTGAAATTCATGGACACTGTGTCCTCCGGGCTAAAGACCACTCAGCTTGTTATCAGTGCACAGTTCAAAAGCCAGTATTCATGATGATATAGGGGGGCATTAGTGCACATGGTAAGGGCGACATGCTCATCTGTGAAGGCACCATTAATGCTGAACGATATATACATGTTTTGGCAACATATGCTGCCATCCAGACGACGTCTTTTTCAAGGAAGGCCTTGATTATTTCAGCAAGACAATGTCAAACCACATTCTGCATGTATTACAACAGCATGGCTCTGTATTAAAAGAGTCCGGGCGCTAAACTGACCTGCCTGTAGTCCAGACCTTTCACCACTGAAAACATTTGGCACATTATGAAATGAAAAATACAACAAAGGAGACCCCGAACTGATGATCAGCTGAAAACCTATATCAAACAAGAACAGGAAAACAATTCACTTTCAGAACTACAGCAGTGTCTCCTCAGTTCCCAAACACTTACAGAGTGTTGTTAAAAGAAGAGGTGATGAAACGAAGTGGTAAACACGCCCCCGTCCCAACTTTTTTGACAGAATATGAAAACGCCTGTCACCCTTTGTATTGTGTGTAAATTCCATGATAAATGGACCACAAGAAATGGTCTGAAATTACTTGGAAAAAAGTCTGGTTCCATTGACTTACATTAAAAGTTAAGAAGGTTTTTCTTTTTCTCTTGTAAACTTACCATTGTGGAGATACATGGTTTTGTTCCGACAGCAGCGATATGATGACTACATCCCCTTTATTCTATTTTTAAAATATCGACAACATATTTAAAAAATATTCCATGAAAAAGTTTCATAAACATATCATTTTCAATATCCTCATTCTTTGTTATGTAAATACATTTGCCGTAAATGTTGTGCATGCACTTACAAAGCGGCACTCTGGCACATCATTTATGGATTTCAACAAAACAAATGCGAGATTAAATCTGATCTTTCTGAGTGACCCTTACCTTTACATAGGCCTTGTTCCAGCTAGGCCATTTCCTTTGGCCTCTGGCCATCTGCCATGGAAATCTTCCTTATTGATCCTCCTGCTTGTTGAAGAGCAGGTCATTAGGCTGTGGTCAGTCCAAAATTCAGCTGGAGATGGGCAAATTGGAGTCATTTCTACAGTCCAACAAGATCAATAATAAGGAAAAACAAACATTTCCTTCAGTGATTCACTGATATGTGAAACACACAGCGCTGCAGCATCCAGTAACCAGATGATTTAACAAATCCAGATGAGGACAAAATGTTAGACTTACATCACAAGTTTATGGACACCTGCTCCTCCAGTGTTTCTTCTGAAATGAAGGGTGTTAATAGTGAGTTTGTTCCTCCTTTGCTGCAGTAACAGCCTCTACTCTTCTGGGAAGGCTTTACTCTAGATGTTGGAACATTGCTGTGAGGATTTGATTGAGCATTAGTGAGGTCAGGTACGGATACTGGATGATCAGTTTTGGAGCTCCAAGTCGTCCCAAAGGTTTTGGAGAACGCATTGCCACTGCTCCACAGCCAAATGATGGGGGGCTTTATACCCCTCTAGCCCACTGTTACGACCCTTGGCTAAGGGGTTTGGGGCTCGTAAAGATGAGGCTGGTGTGGAAGATAAAAATAAAAATAAATAGTCTAACTCTAACTGAAAACCAAATCATAAATACATATGGAGTGCCCGGCCTCTT